TCTTTTTTTTCTTTCTGCTTTGTTTTAAAACTAACCCAACCCAATAAAGGCCCACATGACCAAGCCCAAGAGAACAAGAAACCCATCCCAACGCAAGATAAAACCAACTAGACGGAGCCCCCCGATAAATATAAATTTAATTACAGTTTAGAGTCCGATAAATATAAATTTAATTACAGTTTAATTAAAAAAAAAGAATGAAAATCTCCTGATTCGAGACTAACTAACCCGAGGGACTCGGGGCGTTACACTGGCTCACACCCATGGATGTTAAATAAAAAAAATTTAATAATATTTTTATATTAAATGATGGTCGTTCCAGTAAAAAGAAAGTATGTTCTCATTAAAACATAAAAATGAAAAAATATTTTTAGTTGATGTAATTTTATTTTGGACAAGTAAATATTTTTAGTTGGTATAATTTTATTTCGAACCAGTATCTATTTGGTTGGTAAGTTTCAAAAAGTAACAATTCGATCTCCTGACTTTTAGAAGATTAACAAATTTTAAATGATGTGACCATATTAATTGGTTGGACGTTTATGGGGACGATTTTGCTTCTATATTAGTCCTTTTTTTCTTCTTCTTCGTTTTCTTTTTAATCAATTTAGAGAGGATTGGGGAGATTATAGAATGAAAACTTAATGAAAAGTTGAAAAAAATGTGCTGGAAAGTTGAAATCATTAATTAATAAATGTAAATATTTGTTTTAAATTTTTCACAACATTTTTTGAGTTGTTTATTAAAAACATCTTCACAATTGACATGTAATTTTTAATTGGGCTTCATCCCAAACGGGTAGGATCTGGACAAAAGTGAAAATATTTGTAATTTTAGACACTTAAAATTGTGATCTCAAAATAGATCGACTACACTCGTGTACTTATTCAAAATAAAGGCATTTTAACCATGGCATGATTTTACCTATACCTTATTTGTAATTTGTTTATTTATTTCTTAAAAATATATGAGGGGTAATTTTCACATGGATGCCATCCCATACTCTATTTTGACAAATATATAAATTATAAAGATTTAATCTATTTGTCTAACTAGGCTCTACAAATGATCTACATGTGTACTTATCCAATATCTTAAGGGGTCGTTTGTTTTTTTGGGAATGTACATATCTGACATCTTCAGATGCTTGGAATTTCAAATATCCGGAATTTTAGATGTGCGGCATCTTTAGATGACCACATTTGTTTTGTACGAAAATATATAAGGATGTTCGGTAATATCTGGATATCCACGTTTGTTTTACCGTAGTTATTCATGAGAATGTTCTAAATTTATATAATGTTTCAAAAATGCACTTACGAATATTCATATAATTTATACATTAATCTAATATAATTTGTATTTATATAATAGATTTTTTAAAAATTAAATTAATATTTTAGTTTTTTATATTAATGGTATATATATTAACTTTGGTATGTTCATATTAATATAAGACTTTTTTTAAAAGTAATTAATATTGAATACAAAATTTCTCTCAACTTTAATATTTTTCAAAATATACAATTATATAATTAATGTTATCTGAAATGAAATTCATTTATTATATTATCAAATTATATTATTTGAAAAATAAAAATATCAAATGTAAAGTGATCGTTAAAATAAAATATTACTTTAAAATTACGTATTTAAGATAATAGATATTATTCATAATAATTCCTTCCAAATATTACAAGTAAATGAAAATATTATATAATTTAATTGAAGTTTATTTTATATGTACATGTAATATATAAATATACTTGATTGCATAAAATTTTTTATTAGTCGGTGAGTACATTAATTTATTTAAATTATAAAATTACAAATAAAAGTGAAGAACTTCGATAAAAAAAATATATATCAAAAAATAATGAAGGGGCAAAACAACTCGGATGCCTCCCGCATCCTACGATTTTCGGATATCTTACATCCCCGCAAAACAAGATGTGAGATCGATGTCTGTCTCATGGGAATCTATGGAACAAAATGCCTCTAATGGTGGATAGGGTTGCCAATCACACCACATTTAACTAGCTTAGTAAGCCACCCAATCAAAATCGAAAATAATAAAATTTAGTAAAGTCATATATCTAAAAAAATCTGAAATAAAATTTCGCTAATTAAAACGTAAAAGTCCTAGTTCTTAAATGTTTATAATTCCAATTACATATTGGATTTTAAAGAAAGCCCTCTTATAAATAACATCTACGAGTGGCCCCTGTCACTCATTCTACTCCTTCTTGGCCTATTTTAGCTTCACAAACCATGTCGCCGCCGTCTTACACAGCTTCAGCTCCGTCGGTGACATCTCCGAGCGCGATCGGCGTCGGCTACGGCTTCCTCGGACTGTCTCTGCTGGATGAGTATTTTGCCGTGACTGCCATCTGTGTCGTTTTTATACTATACTTCATCGCCTTCAGTTGCTACAAATCCAGACTAAACGAATCCGAATTGTCCGGAACAGCGGTCGGGGCAGCGCCGGTCCGGGAGCTGGAGATGGTAAGGATTGAAGCCTCGGGCTTCACTTGCGGCGGAGGAGACGACGGCGAAGAATGTGTGATTTGCCTGACCGAATTTAAGAAAGGAGAAAAGTGCTGGATCATGAGTAAATGCTGCCACGTGTTTCACCGGAACTGCATTGACCGGTGGCTGAAGGCGGAGCGCCACTGCCCGCTTTGCCGGAGCTGCGTTTGCGTCGCCGTCCATGGAGGAAACAACATCATCTCTTCAACCCCCATTAGTCGAGTTTGACCATGTGTATAATGATTTTTTATTTGTTTTTAATGGAAGTTCATGTTTTGGAATTCTATTAGAGGCAAATGAAGTAATCTTCTAATAGTATTACTTTTCAATTTAGATTGTTATTTGTAGATAGGTTAATAAGTGTACCTTAATTATATTGATTATTTATGGTTTGCAATTATAGTACTCATTATTTTTTAATATTTCATTCATTATTTTTAAAAAAATCTTTATTTCATTCATTATTGGATATATATAAATTCCTATTCTTATCTCTTTATTTCCTCGCTCCAAGTGGTACATACTACTCTCATGGAATATGACTTTCCACATAATTCTATTTTGAGACATATCAATTAGATTTTGAGACATATCAATTTCGTTCTAATGGATCAAGAATAGATAGAAATACGAAGAAAAATGAACAAACTAGATCGAAGAATGAAAATCGAAATTGTCAAATTTTGCACTAATTGACCAATGGATGAATTTCAGTGACAAAACTAAGTTTAGATTATGGCTCTGATACCACTTGTTATATAACATTGGATCAATTTGTTGCTTAACCAGTGTCAGATTTTCTTTGCATTCCTCCTACAAACCCATACAAACCCAACATTTATTTGTGTCAGCCAACTATTTTTTGAAAATTGAGATCAAATGACATAGTGCATTCTTTTCTTGAAGATTAGTTTATCCTATTAGTTTACATAATTAATTTTTAATTTGATGTACTAAAAAAAATAATTCTCCCCCTCCCTAAAATAACTAATAATTTTTAATTTGATGTACTAAAAAAATAATTCTTCCCCTCCCTAAAATCTCTCCCATCGGATATGTTTTTAATGGGGTTTGATTCCTTGACCTCTCACTTAAAAARTACGCCTTGTACCAACTTTGCAAATCACTTAATCATTACATGAATTTTTGTTTTATTCATTGAAAACAATCTATTTTTGTTTCCTCGGTGATTTTGTCCTTTTTTTTTGTGTCATAATCACCTTCGTGATTTATTTTTTTGTATTTGTTATAGACAATATGACAAGGATGATAAAGACACCAAAGGTCCCTGAGACAAAAGTTAGGAGGGATATAGTGAATAAGATGATTAGAAGACTTATCCCTTATAAATTTTGAACCGGGCCACGAATTGGATTTAATATACTTAGTTCAGTATATAATCCAAGTTAATAATCAGCTTCAAATGAATTATTTGGGAAGGAGGTTTACTGCTAGATGATCAAATATTGAGTGTCTTAAGATCACTCTTACCTCTCGAGTGCCTTAAGGCCTTCTTAGATAATGTCTTGAGTCGACACAGTGGAGATGACCTTTACGAGATAGTGACCAAAGCTTTTGTCTATGAGCTCGGTATACGAGCTGGTTTGGAAAGGCATAAGGCCTCAGTCTATGGAGAAAGAATCCATCTCAACCAAAACAAACTTGGAGTGGTTGTTTGCAACCACAAAATTCCAATAGTTCTTTATGAAATTTTTAAAAATTCATTTCCTATTCGTCGGATGCATTTGTAAATGTTTTCATGTACATGTTTATGTATGTATTGTTGCTGATATATATACTAAATGAAAAAAGAAATTGTGCCCATTTTCGGGATTTTACTATGGGCATTTGAATGATGATTGTGTCTCATTCTCGTATACTTTTTGGGTAAAGTATTTGTTTATTTATAATGTGATAAGTTTGTATATAATTACTTGGTTTAAACAGTGACGATGATTTGGAAACTTAGTAAAATTTCGACTCGATATTCAACAAAATAATTATGATAAAATTTATTTGAAAATAGTAAAATATTAACGGGTAGTGTGTTATGCATTTGAATTGATATATGTGCTAATATGACATGTAGACTCTGAAAATATGGCATCTGCTTCAGAAAATATAATTGTTGTATTGAACAAATGAGAGAAACTTAATGTAGATAATTATGAGATTCAGGCCATGAAAATCCAGTATGTACTGGAAGAGCGAGAGCTCCAGAAGTGTTGAGTAACATGTTGACTGAGCTTGAAGAGGGCAATAGTGCTCAACATATGACACTTTGAAGAAGAAAAACTCACTTGCTCGCATAACCATGCTGAGCAACATGGACAACAACGGGTTTTAGAACGGATTACCTTGATGATCAATATCAAGAGTAGAGAAAACTCGTTTCTAAATTCGTGATTCGAATCACTCCACAAGAGGTATGATCAACACCGCTTGAATGATCCTAACATGCAAATTCTAAAAACTCAAGAAATTGCACAAGAAATGGGAGATAAAGCTCTCAACCAAGCTAATGAGAAAACTCACTTTAAACTTAAAAATTGTGTTTACAACAAGACATCTCAAGGCTATATATAGCCATCCTAGCAAGCCATATGAAAAGTCTTAAGCAAATGAAAAGACTTGTAACTTACAAGAAATGAAAAGACTTGTAAATGAAAAGACATAACTTACAAGAAACGAAAAGACAAGCAAATGAAAAGGTTAAGAACATGGAAAGCCAACCAAAATAAGTGCAATCTCGTCCATAATGAGGGATGTGAGTGTTTGACTTGGTTTCTGAATTGAATGAGTTGACTTTGACTTGTCTTAATGGAGTTGACTTTGACCTTGACCAAGTGGACTTTGACTTGGCTTAAAAACACTTAAAAATGCATAACTTGCACCAAATTGAAGTGCATAGTTCCAACTTCTTGCACATCTTCCTTTTTTTCTCTTGTCGAGTTCAAGAACGCTTGGACACGAAGTAGCAAAGCTTGTTGAAGTTTCTTAGCTCTCGATCTTGTAATCGGTCCATGAGGCAAACAAAGGTAGCTCCTTGGTTCATATCATCAATTTTTTGGAAGAATTTGAATTGTTCAAATTACTTAAGGGATTATATGTATATTGATACATTATAATATATATAGTTAATTGTAAATTAAAACTATATATTATGAGAGATATTATTTGAACGATATTCAAATAAAATTAATATGAATGAGATTCATATTAAAACTATAGGTTAAAAATAATGTGCATAAGATGTACATTAAAACTATAGGTTCTACGAGAGAAATGTTTCATAATATGATTCTAATTTTATAATAAATAATTAAGTGTTAATTATTTATGTATATATATATTTATTAATTATTAATTGTATTAATAATTAATTATATTAATTAATTTGATTAATTAATTATATATCTATAGTAATTAATATATAAATATTATTACATATATTTTAATTATTATTATATATATATATATATTTTATATATATATATTAAATTAATATTATTATTAATATWAACTCCCCTGCAAAATTGCAAGGGAGTGGGAGGTGTTGTGACGTGGGAGTTACCCCACGTCACCCTTCTTCTTSTTCTCCAAGTGTTGGAGAAGGTGAAGAACAGTGTGGTTATAGAACAGAAGAAAAAAAAACTCTCAACGATTTCTCTCAAAATTCTCTCAATTTCTCCCTCTCTTTAATCAAGGTGCTACCACAAGCACGATCCCGAGACCCAAGAGGATAGCGAGGAAGATCAAGTGGTGGTGTTCGAGGGGAATTCATTGAAGAAACGTTCTTCAAAGGTTTGGAATTTCCCCTGTATTTTCTTCTTTAAAACTCAATTTTGTATCCCGAAAATCAGCAACGAAAATCCGTTTCCGCTCCGGGATTCACATCCCTTCAGGTACATCGTATTTCACCAAGTAATCATCTCATATAATTTTCATATGATTGACGAGGACCACTGTGTGTATGTCAAAACAAACAATGATAAGTTTGTCATTCTTTCACTATATGTGGATGACATACTATTGGCTGAAAAGGATAAGGAGTATGTGTTAGTCATAAGGAATGGTTATCCTCAAGCTTTAAAATGAAATATATGGGTGAGGAAACTTATATACTTGGAGTTAAGATTGAAAGAGATTGCTCCAACAGGATGCTAGCCTTGTCACAAGGCCAATACATCCAGAAAATTCTTGAAAGATTTAATATGCAAGAATGCAAACCCATTGATACGCATATCGCAAAAGGTGAAAATTTGAGTCAAAGAATATGTCCTACGACTGCTGAGGAAATAGAGTTCATTAGAAAAGTTCCTTACCAGAGTGCTACTGGAAGCCTCATGTATGTTATAATGTGTACGAGACCAGATATCTGCTTTGTCGTTGGCATGATAAGCAGATACCAGTCAAACCCTGGCCAACCCCAATGGAAGGCTGTTAAGAGAATACTTTGGTATCTCAAAGGCACTATGAATTATTCGCTATGCTACCAAGGAAACAATTCAGAATTATAAGGCTACTCGAACGCTGATTGGGAAGGAGATATTGATGAAAGAAAATTCACCTCGAGATATATCATCTTACTCAATAATGGAGCAATATCTTGGAGTAGCAAGAAACAAACTTGTATAGCCTTGTCTACAATGAAAGCTGAATTTGTGGCACATTTAGCAGTGGTACAAGAAGCAGTATGACTTAAGAGATTCTTAAGTCATTTGGGATCAAAAGAAAGTGCGCCTGACTCAGTATTGGGAAACTGTGATAGTCAGGTTGCTGTAGCTTTCATGAAGGATCCCAAATATCACTCTAAGACAAAGCACATAGATATCAAATACAATTTTGTTATAGATATGATTGCAGAAAAGGAAGTAAATGTGCAATATATATCAACGAGCAACATGGTTGCGGACCCCTTTACTAAGCCTATTCCTAGAGATGTTTAATAGCCACATTAAATATTTAGGATTGCGAAGACTTTAAGTTTGTATTTTTTAATAAATTGTATTATGTGTTTTAAACTATGAAATAAAGTTTTGTACTTTACTATGCATACACACAAAATGTTTAGTACGTTTAATGAGAAGTATGTCGAACAGTAAATTGACTCTCTCACACGAGCAATCGCTTTTATGACTTGCGTGTCAATTAGAAATGAGATATTGCTTTGATATGTGATCAAGATGAGATCAAGATATTGCTTTCAACGACATAGTCAATATACA